GCCAAGGTATAATCAGTCTTCTGTCAAATATGTGAAATGGCCAAGGTATAATCAGTCTTCTGTCAAATATGTGAAATGGCCAAGGTATAATCAGTCTTCTTTCAAATATGTGAAATGGCCAAGGTATAATCAGTCTTCTTTCAAATATATGAAATGGCCAAGGTATAATCAGTCTTATGTCAAATATGTGAAATGGCCAAGGTATAATCAGTCTTCTGTCAAATATGTGAAATGGCCAAGGTATAATCAGTCTTCTTTCAAATATGTGAAATGGCCAAGGTATAATCAGTCTTCTTTCAAATATATGAAATGGCCAAGGTATAATCAGTCTTCTGTCAAATATGTGAAATAGCCAAGGTATAATCAGTCTTCTGTCAAATATGTGAAATAGCCAAGGTATAATCAGTCTTCTGTCAAATATGTGAAATGGCCAAGGTATAATCAGTCTTCTGTCAAATATGTGAAATGGCCAAGGTATAATCAGTCTTCTGTCAAATATATGAAATGGCAAAGGTATAATCAGTCTTCTCTAAAATATATGAAATGGCCAAGATATAATCAGTCTTCTGTCAAATATGTGAAATGGCACCACTGCCTAAGCAGGAATGAATAACCCAGTAACTCATTAGGTTATTAGGTGCAATAAAGCTTTAAATTAGATTATTTTTCTATCTAAAACCAGTTTTGATACCATGTGTTGAAATGCTGAAATCCTCTAAATCAATACCAAATCTTATTTAGGTAAACCACAAAAATGTGTATGTAATCGTTATACAAACATAATAGGGTTCCCAATATATTGATATCTTGTGATATGTGAGAAATATCTGTGCCAGGTCATCATATTTTAAAGATATGGAATTTTCTATGATTTACAAGTTTCAGATGACTGGGGAAATACATTTTTACATGGTACTAACTAGAGTTGACATTAGAGCAGTCTAAACAATGAATAATGTTAACAATTCAGACAGGAATGCCACAAAATATGTTCAACATTTCTGCTTTTGTGCAATAACACAATTATTGTTTATCCACAGGTAAAACAATAATTAATAGCTAGTTTTATTCACAGGTATGCATTAGTAATTTTATACATGGGTCTTTACTTTACATATTATCCTCAGGTCTGGACTAGAATATTTTGCCCAGGTTCAGATTAATTTACCAGTTCCTCATTGTTAACAGGTTGGAATACATACTTGTAGAACAAGGTGATAAAAGATGAAACAAGGCAGCCTTGTGCTTGAAATCACACAATTTAGCCAGTTTTGCCAGTTGTACAAGAGAAAGATGAGGAATGTACACGACAAAATACAATAAAAAAGACAATGCTTCAACTAGTTTTTGAGAATCATGTTAAATTGATGCATGTTTACCTGTATAAAGAATGTTATTAGAATGTTCTGTTGATCATGTCATTTTAGAAGCTGTAAAACATGTTTCAGTTGGTTCCTCATTGCAGTTTGTTTTATCCTATTTTTTACAAAGTAGTATATACATCTGTCTGTCCATCCAGGTGATGACTCAAATACCGGCCCGATCTTGTGGGTTTGGATAAAAAGGTGTTGGGCATGGGGTCTACAGGGTGCTCAAAAATGGTTTGGGTAAAAAGGTGTGGGGTGTTGTATTTACAAGTATAGCACGCCTTTAGAGGTTTTAAGGGTAATAAAGCCAATTCAGTAAAAGCTAGGCAAGTGGTGACATATTGTTATGGTCTCAGTTTTTTTATGGTGGTTGGCGGTTGGTGGTTGGCAGTTGGCGTCTAACAAATTCTTACAACTTCAAATAACTTAACAAATACTGTTTAGACTGACTTCAATTTTTTCAAAATCATCTACAAGTTTCCAGAAGTTCAAATCTGACTTTGTATTAAAGATTTGACCTTCAGTGACCTTTTCAAGGTCAAAAAGGTCTTTTTTCAAGTTGCTTCAAATTGACTAATTTTTTTTTATCAGAAGTTCAAATCTGACTTAAGATATGAGATTTGACCTTCAATGACCTTCTTAAGGTCAAAAAAGGTCAAAAGGTCTTTTTCAACTTGCTTCAAATTGACTTCTCACAACTTCCAATAACTGAACAAATACTGTTTAAAGTTTTCAGAAGTTCAAATCTGACTTTATATTTAAGATTGACCTTCAGTGACCTTTTCAAGGTCAAAAAGGTATTTTTTCAGGTTGCTTCAAATTGACCAATTTTTTTTTCAAAATCATCTACAAGTTATCAGAAGTTCAAATCTGACTTAAGATTTGACCTTCAACAACCTTCTCAAGGTCAAAAAAGGTCAAAAGGTATTTTTTCAACTTGCTTCAAATTGACAATTTTTTTTAAAAAATCATCTACAAGTTATCAGAAGTTCAAATCTGACTTAAGATTTGAGATTTGACCTTCAACGACCTTCTCAAGGTCAAAAAAGGTCAAAAGGTCTTTTTTCAACTTGCTTCAAATTGACCAATTTTTTTCAAAACTATTTTCAGAAGTTCACATCTGGCTATAAATTTGACCTTCAATGACATTCTCAAGGTCAAAAAAGATGTGACTTTCAATGACCTTCTCAATGTCAAAAAGATCGTTTTTCATTTTGCTTCAAATTGACCAATTTTTTTCAAAATCATCTTCAAGTTCTCAGAAGTTCACATCTGAATTTAGATTTGAGATTTCACCTTCAATGACCTTCTCAGGGTGAAAAAAAGGTATTTTTTCAACTTGCTTCAAATTGACCAATTTATTTTTTCAAAATCATCTATCTACAATTAAGTTCTCAGAAATTCAAACTTGACTTTGAACTCGTAATATTATGAGCAACTAGGTGGTGACATTTTGTCATGTTAATGCCTAATTGAGGTAACTAGAAAAGTAGCAGAGCGATTTTGTTCATATTTTGAAATGTGAATACTCATATCATGGCAAACTGTTTTATTACACTTTGTATAGCAGCATGGCTAGTCTATTTTGAAAATTTACATTTACGTGTGCGATTTTGTTGAAATTTCTGTTGTAACTTGAAAAGTAGTGGAGCGATTTAGTTCATATTTGATATGTGAATACTAATATAAGCATGACACACTGTTTTATGACACTTTGTCTAGAAGGTGGCCAATTTGAAAATGGCTGTAATTTCTATGTGTGTTATTTTTCGTTCTTTACTATAACTCGAAAAGTAATAGAGTGATTTTGTTCATATTTGATACACAGTAAAACCTGCCCGATGGAACATCTTTCTGTATAGAATACCTATCTACATGGAACAGTTTTCAAAACAACCAAATATTTTTCTATTGACTTACATGTTAACAGACCCTCTCTGTATGATACACCTGTCAACTGGGAACAAAGAACAGTGTTTTAGGGCAAAGGAGGAGGGAAAGTATTTCAACAGATTTTGGACAGTCATATGTTGGATTTTGGCTATTTTCTGAGGATTTAAACAGGTGCATATGTTAGGCCAATGCATTGTCTTTTTCAATTTTTTTGCATCAATATGTTGTGTTATAAGATACAGTTAACCCCTTTAAGGTCAGGGTGCACTTTGATGAAATTTCATGATCATGTGCTATTTTCAGATATCCATAACTCTTTCCAATCCACACATCAACTACATCTTTCATTCTTGCACAAAAGATGCATTAGTGTATCTCAACTATTAATTCTTCAGAATGTTTGAATAACTGGAATATGCTGTGGTTTACTTTTCAAAATTGCAAAAAAATTCCAAAGTGCACCCTGACCTAATAAGTGATTCCTCTTCGATAAAGTTGAAAACAATATTTTCCATGTTATTTCCCGATAGGGAAAACTCATGTGATCCATTGCTTTTAGCTAATTTTGGTCACCCATAATGGATATCTTTAAAACCCCAGGAGGAATTACTAATTCCTTTAAAGGGTTTAATTGTGTCAAAACGCAACATATTGATGCAAAAAATTGGAAAAGCAGGGGTGAAAGGGGATTGCATCTTCCCTGTCTTAAAGACAAAATTATTTTATCGTCTCTATGAGCGCTTTTCCTGGAGATAATACATTGGCCTAACAATATGCACCTGTTTTAATCCTGAGAAAATGGCCAAAATCCAACATATGACTGTCCGAAATCTGTTGCGATACTTTCCCTCCTCCTTTCAAAATTCACCTGTTCACATGGAAAATTTACAACACTGTACATCATATTGTTCTTTTTAGGTGTGAATTGCTTAAGCCAATATCTGATCTGATCTGAAGCTTGGATTAATATGAATGAGATTAGGATAAGCCAATTGTTAACAGGATTGAACATCCCATTTTAAGTGATTTTGGCCATTTTTGGACCAAAATTGTCACAACCGAACCCCCTGGAATTTTTCAAAAAGTGAACCCCCCTTGGCAAATCCTGGCTATGGGCCTGCTATTTGTTATTAATTGCCCTGACTCTCATGCTTTCTTTCAACAAAACTGCAACTGACCAGTTGAGATAATCTGGGGATTGACACAATTGTTTTTTGGAGATAATAGAAATGTATTTGTGTCAATATGAGATTTAAATATTAGCTTATTTACATTTTCAAATAGAGTGGATGAAACCTGCAAGTTAGGATCATTAAAAAATTAAATCTCTTTAAATGGGATTTTCTACACTTTGGTGTTACTGTTGTCTAGTTTTATATTTGCAATATGATTTCCAGCATCTCTATGCAATATCATTATATTAAGCTGAAATCTTTTCACATTGCTCTTTAAATTATTTATATCCTATTTCAAATTTTACCATACTTGAATAACAATGTACTGACTGCTAAAATTTATAAATACAAATAGTTGTGTTTCTTGTCTGTTTATCATATTAGAATCGTTACAAAGACCTTGATTTTTTGATTTATGTCAAATATATGATCTTAAATTTTATTCTGGCCATTGCCAAAGACCTCAATCGCTACGCGATTTTGGTCTTTTAACAATGAACAGAATAATATTTGAGGTCATATATTATTGAGGTCAAATTATTGTCATATTATTTATCTGTTTCAGGTCCAGAGACAGTGATACCCTACCTAGTTGACCAATCAGGGAACAGCATTTCTGCAAATGACAAATCCCGTTTACGTAGATCACGAAGCATACACCAAGAACATTCAGAATCTCATAATAAACTTTATTTTAAAATACAAACTAAAGACCATAACTTCCATTTATCATTGGAGAAAAACACTAATCTTTTACATAGAAATTTCAAGGTGCATCGGAGGAAGAGCTTGAATGGACCCCTTGAAATGCCTACAGAAATTAAATTCCAACATTGTTTTTATCATGGAAGTGTACTTTCACATGAGGAGTCATCTGTTGCCATAAATGTATGCAATGGGCTGGTATGTATTGTTTTAAATCAATCATGATTAACTTGTTCTTGATCATTCTTGATTCATTCATAACTCTAATTGCATCCTGGCATCTCATCAAGTCAAGTGGCATACTGTAGATACACTTAATTTGGCTCCTGTTTTAAGTTGACGGATTGGTGGATTCAGAAAATCGGGCAAATTAAAAATCTGTCAAATTTCAGTTTGGAATTTTCATCCAATGTACTTCACAAAGTGAACTTCTGGGTCAGTCAACATGTCATCAATTCTACATTATTATTCCAAAAGAAGTACAGAAAATATCTTAGTAAATACCTGTCCTAATGACATAAACATAGACAAAAATAAACTCCAATCTCGAATCCGGCCAAATTAAATAGCCACCAATATTTGAGATTGAGCAAATCCGTCAAATTAAGTAGTGTCAAAATAAGTGTATAATTATACATTACATAGTACTAACACAGGGCATGCATAATTGTTTTTCTAAATGTACAAAAAATGTAGATATTGCAATAAGATTCCTGATGAATATCTGAATGTTTCTCATATTATATCTGAATGAATGGTATGGAAATGCAACTAATCAATAAATTTTGCAGACTCCATAACCAATTGTTTTTGAATCCTGACTTCATGGTTTGAAGATTCTTGGAATCTAAGATGTTATGTGAGAAAATGTGTTGATTTTGTTGAATCAGCAGGCTATTTCATTGAAAATAACAATTAAGTTTAGAATAAAATGGCCTCTTCCTTCTATTGTGTTAGTACCTAAATACTGGCCACAATTTCTCAACTGCAAACTGATTCACTTAGTAAAATCTAATCATTATTGTTGACAGGATCTTGAGATCTAGAATGCTACTTTACCCCCAAAGATAATCTAACTTTAGTCAAGTTTTTGTTTCCCCTAATATTATTCCATTAATTTTCTAGCCATTCCATGCATTTTACAGATTGGATTCCAACCTTGCTTATTTCAACTAAGAATTTCTTATTTCATCACTCTTTTCAACATGAAAAGTGATTATTCCTGGTTTATTTGATTTTCAGGCCAAGCTGCAATATCTCAAAGTTGACTGATAATTACTCTATACTCCATCCAACCTTCAAACAGCTTTAGAAAAATCCTCTAAATTGACCGATATTTTGATGGTTTTCGGAAGTTGATGTTGTTAACTTTCCCACATTGCAACCTGTGAAGTGGTGTTTATATCAATAGACAATTTCTCACAGCCTTGTTTAATGAATATTGTCAGAATGGAACCTACCTGAGCAAAGTTAAGTTAGCTTGTGTGAAGAAACCTATTTTTCTGAAACGTGTTACTCTGAAACAGCCTATATATGTCCTGTCATGGAGTAGTCTTTATTACTTAAGCAATGTAAAACATTTTCTTACATAAAGTATTTTTTAGTAATTATATACATGTACATGGAATTAGTTAGAGAATCAAGTACAACCTCAGGGTACAGAACAAAGTATCTTTGCATTTCAATTTATTTATATTACTTACATCTACATCAATCTACATGTATTTAATATTACCAAATCCAACTAAACCATTTAACTGTAACAAGTAATACCTTAGTAAATATAAAATTTATCATACTAAATTGTTTCAAACAGAGATAGCATTAATTTAAAGAATGTTAATCAGCTTCAAATAAAATAGACATAGTTGTTTGCAAATATATTATTTTAATGATTTTGTTAGAGTTCCTATGAATAAAGAATTAATTTTTTATTTCAAAAGAGATAAATTAAAATGCACTATATCAATGTAGATTAAGTAATTGAATTACTACTTTGATAATTTAAACGCTGTAATAATTGAAAACCATACATACATAGTCATTTTGCTTTGCTAGAATTATGATTACTGAAATGGAGTTATTCACAAATATTTTTAGTGAAGTAACAACAAGTAATCTGTCCCCTAAATTTTGCCTGCAATTATTTTATTTTATTCTAGTAATTCGTATACCAAATCACAAGTAATGTTTGAAGTAATTAACACTTTAAGTTTTGTCTAAAATTACTTTTTACTTGGTTTTTACTAGAATTTATTCATATAAATTCATCAAGTAATCCATAAGCTTAATTTTACTTATAATTACTTGAAATTACAATTTTTATACATAAGTAACATTGAGTAATTAATAGTATTTTTAGGTAAAACGTTGAATGTTATTTACTTGAGAAATTACTATGAATTTACTAGAATTACTTTGAATTGCTTGAAAAAGTAAATAATAAATCATAAAAGTAATTAATTTTTTATGAAATACTTATGCTATACAAATGAAGTTAAGTCTAGGTAATTAAGTTATTTTATTTTTACTACAAGTCAGCCAATTACTCAGTGCAAGCATCTATTTACTTTTGTAATGTATTTACTTATGTAAGTAATGTTAAGTAAAATGGTCTTTACTTGAGTGAATTAAATACATTTCTCAACTTTTTAGAGTACGGTCCACCCTCTCAAACATTAGATAAATAGAGGTTAGTTAATGGGAGGGATGGAATATGAATTTTATTCTGAGGGAAAATATTATATTGGCCAAGAGATATATCATATTGACTCATGGCGATAGCCCTAGTGTCAAAATGATATTTCCAGAGGGCTTTATAAATATATTTCTCATATCAAATAGCCTAATGGCATAATACCCCAATACGTGATAAAGTTTAGTTAAGTTCAGCTTAGTTACCTCACTTTAGAAGAGCTCTCATGTAGGGTACAATATCTGGGTTCTTTCCCATTGGATTACACAGGGGTGTGATTTTCAATGCTGCACTGCGGCTTTATTAAACATTTATGTAGAGTTGCATTTGCACAAACGATAGATATGTATGTAATTAAGATATATAACAAGGCTTTTTGAACTAAATCCCCAAATCCAAAGAATTGTGTAGTTGAAAATGCGGTCTAATTCCAGTGACGTCACTGATTTCCCAGAAATTGTTCACACGCCATTGAAGTTTTGTTTGAGTAATCGTCTGCCATTTTGATGCTATACATACGCTATGATGTAATCATCGACCAATGGAATTAGCGGATCATGACCTTTGGCTTTGCAATCTCCAGACGTTTCTTTCAGAGAAATCGTCTCGTTTGGCGGGCCCATGAAAATATGTCCCTCCCAAAGCGTTGCACCATTGGAGATATTTATGTAAATTATCACCTGAACTCTTTATCACAAATTAGAGTATTAAAAGTAACTTACACAATCAAAAATAAAGACATGAACCTTCTTTTCTGGCAATATTGAAGCTTTAAAAAATTATTCATGTAAAACCTACTTTTAAAATATAAAAAAGTTTTTTTTTTAATTTTTTTGGAACTTGTGGTACTGTTTACTTGGTAAGGACTATGAAACAAATAGTTGCAATAATATACTTCCAGTAATCTGCTGAACATTCAGGACTTTCTACAGTGGTATATATAATACTCCATGGTATACACCACAGGGTATGTATTTCCTATCACCTGTGGTCTTCAGCTGTAGCCTCATTTTAGCTGTGTATACCACAGGGGCTTGGTTGGAGTGTTGGGCAAGCCCTCCGATAAGTGTGTACTGTTATAAAGAGTTCAAGGGAGACTTGAATGTTGATGCTTCCTGAAAATTGTACAAAAAGTTTGTTAAATATATCTAGTAAAAATATATTCAAACAACCCTACAGAGCAAGTTTACCCAAAATGGTAGCAATCCAACCACTACTTGCTGAGAAATCTGAAGAATATGTAAAGAATTGATTAAATGTCAAAATTCCGACAATTTTTACCTCAAAATGATTACCTCTAGGGTCGATTTCTTCTTCAAGACACGTCCACTGTTAAAAATTGGTAGTTCCTATAGTTTTTGTTTCCTAAGGTTCATTTCTGTATATTATTTTTAACGAAGGACAGCCTATAATTTTCAGGAAGCATAAACATTGGTCTCCCTTGAACTCTTTATAACAGTATACACTTAACGGAGGGCTTGCCCGACACTCCAGCCAAGCCCCTGTGGTATACACAGCTAAAATGAGGCTACAGCTGAAGACCACAGGTGACAGTAGGGGAATACATCCTCATATGTTGAATCATGTGATCGGTTCTTATCCAATAAGAAAGCGAGAAACGTTCCAATGGGATAATAACTATATTTGACACCCTGTATAGAAACTAATATCGCACATTTTGCAAAAATATGAATATTTTCAACATAAACAAAGTTTTAAATATGCAGGTTAGGGACAGTATATATGGTCCTACTTGGCCTACTATCAGGTAAGGTAATGGAAAGTATATATGGTCCTACTTGGCCTACTATCAGGTAAGGTCAGGTTAGGGACAGTATATATGGTCCTACTTGGCCTACTATCAGGTAAGGTCAGGTTAGGAACAGTATATATGGTCCTACTTGGCCTACTATCAGGTAAGGTCAGGTTAGGAACAGTATATATGGTCCTACTTGGCCTACTATCAGGTAAGGTCATGGAAAGTATATATGGTCCTACTTGGCCTACTATCAGGTAAGGTCAGGTTAGGAACAGTATATATGGTCCTACTTGGCCTACTATCAGGTAAGGTCAGGTTAGGAACAGTATATATGGTCCTACTTGGCCTACTATCAGGTAAGGTCAGGTTAGGAACAGTATATATGGTCCTACTTGGCCTACTATCAGGTAAGGTCAGGTTAGGAACAGTATATATGGTCCTACTTGGCCTACTATCAGGTACGGTCATGGAAGCAAGGTCAGACATAACTTTTTGGTTCATATTATTTAAATATGTATGTACAGTAGGCTAAAAGTGACATATTGAGGTGAAAACTCATCTGTACTGGTAATTAGCAGGCAATGATGCTTCTAGAGACTCTTACAGGGGCTCAGTTGTCCTTGCATCATTTTATGACTGGAATTGCTCTATGATTTTGATGTTCTGTGAAATCTTCTTTCTGATGTTTGATTACCTGCTTTTGTGGTATTTCTATGTAATTATCTGTTTTCTTTGTTCCATGCTGTTTCCACTGTTTTCCACTTTATTCCAGGTTTCAAAACATGACCATCCCGACTTCAGTATCAGTATCTCCATTCAGATGTTGTAATAAATCTTCCTGCTTGGAATCTCTCCTAAGTGGAAGTTTGTAAATATAACTGTCTATGTTAAGTGAGATTGTTGCAGACTCTCATATATTACAGATTTTATATTTTTCTCAAGCCATAATAATAAATAAAAACTGTTTTTGCTATTTGCCAGTGCAGTATTTATGAGTTTTTTTCAAAAGCCACATTTTATAAGTTTTAGAAAAGAAATGTATAATTTGCAATAATAGATTCATGGAAAAGTAAAAGGTTCAATGTTTTTCAATGACACCATCTTTGCCTTATTAATGGTGATGCAGCAGCACATTTAATGGCCTGTCACACATTCATTTTAACAATATCTCCCTGTTAACATGAGTTACACAGTTTAACTTAATTGCCCTATTATATGTTCTTCCATATTTTCAATGTCTTTCTTATTCTTATTGTCAGGCATACTGAGTGTGAATTCAGTTGTTTCAAAACATAAATGCTAATCTTTAATATTGGGATTTCAACTTGTGATGACATGTTTTAGTGTGATCTATGATCCATTTGTTAGCCTGGTATTTTGTGAAGTAGTTGCACTTAGATTCTCAATAAGTACAGGTAAAATCTCATGTTGGCCATGCTTTAACACAAAATAAGGTAGAGAAAAGTTGAATAAGAATGCATAATGAAAATGGACATTTAGTGACAGTTTGATTTAAATTTTAGAGATAAATTGACAAGAATGAGTATGATCAGAGTAAAATTTCAGGAATGAACGCCTATCAAAACTTTGTTGTTCCCATACAGTTCTTCATTCTGGGTTTGTAAATGAAGAACGTAAACATTTTCTTATAGTCCATGTGTATTTTGAACATAACATTGGAAGTATACGAGAACGAGCATGTAAATACAAGGCACTTGTGGTTTCTTCACTTGAAAACCACATTTATTTTCATAATATACAGCTTCTGCTATGTACATTCTATTAACCAAAATGTAACCAATATTGCATCTTTATTTTAACCCCTAAACTTCTGATCCATTCTGTCATCATTAAATAATTTCAGAGTGAATCTGTTTTAGAGGAATTCATTCAAATGCATTCTGTCAAAATATATAAGGTGATATTGAGAAGTAAGAAACTCTGAAGAGCATTCTCAGACTCTGCATGTTGCAAGTTGTAGCCATTCCTACTTTATGATCTCAAAGTAATGTGGGAGATAAGAACTAGAACAAGTTAAAAGAGAATTTTAGAGTTTTGATAGGATTTAGAGGCTGGCTCTCTTCATGTAAGAAAGGGAGGAATCATCATGTTTCCAAGTTTTCAAACAATCCAGGCTTTGAAGACTAAAATGATTCATCCCTTATATAAAGGTAATTCCACACTGTTTCTCATTATTGCACTTTTTACAAACTTCCATAAATTGAAGCATTTCTTATTGAAAACACACTCGTTTCCCAGTTTGATTTTCAATCAAAAACATCAAGATGTATTGAAAAATCAACAGGTATTAGATGAACTTAGGCTGTATTGTTGTATAAGTTGATACAGTTGGGTAATATTTAAGCTGTTTAACTGTGAGTATCATTCAATCTAACCTCAGTCTAGCTAATTTAAAGATTAAAATCTTACTCGCAGTCAAAAAATCATGTACTAAAATCCAGCCCTAGTTATTAACTATCAATGCGACTAGTCCGCGACTTTAATCTTACTATGAGATGAATATTAAAAATTGTTACATTTTAAAGTTGGATTTTGTGTATTATACTTTTCAGAAATATAATGTTATATTGTCCTGTTTAATAGCTGCTGGTCAGAAATATATGTTATATTGTCCTGTTTATAAGCTGCTGGTCAGAAAAATATATGTAATATTGTGATGTTTAATAGCTGCTGGTCAGAAATATATGTTATATTGTCCTGTTTAATAGCTGCTGGTTAGAAATATATGTTATATTGTCCTGTTTATAAGCTGCTGGTCAGAAATATATGTAATATTGTGATGTTTAATAGCTGCTGGTCAGAAATATATGTTATATTGTCCTGTTTAATAGCTGCTGGTCAGAAATATATGTTATATTGTCATGTTTAATGGCTGCTGGTCAAAAATATATGTTATATTGTCCTGTTTAATAGCTGCTGGTCAGAAATATATGTTATATTGTCATGTTTAATAGCTGCTGGTCAGAAATATATGTTATATTGTCATGTTTAATAGCTGCTGGTCAGAAATATATGTTATATTGTCATGTTTAATAGCTGCTGGTTAGAAATATATGTTATATTGTCATGTTTATTAGCTGGTCAGAAATATGTGTTCCATTGCCATATTCAATAGCTGGTCAGAAATATATGTTACATTGCCATATTTAATAGCTGGGCAGAAACATATCTAGTAGCTGGTCAGAAATATATGTAGCATTGCCATATTTAATAACTGGTCAGAAATATATGTTGCATTGTCAAAATTTATGTAGCACTGCCATATCTCTCTCATTTGATGCCTAGGTCAAGTTTGCTCCGATTCATCGGCCGGTGCCTGACTGATTAAGTATTTTGTTCAAAATTGAAGGTCAAATCTCAAATTTGAGGTCAGATGTGAACTCCTGAGAACTTGTACTGATTTCAAAAAAAAAGTTTTGTCAATTTGAAGCAAGTTGAAATCAGTTTTGAACATAAAACTGCAATCGGTCAGGCGCCGGCCAATGAAGGCTCTTTAGAGGTTCAATGAACTGCCAGTTTTCACTTTTAAAAAAAATTTATTACAAAGTGTTTTTATGTCACCACCAAAATGTGGTGGCATATTGTTATGGTCTCCGTTTTTTTTTGTGACGGCGGTTGGCGATCGGCGGTTGGCGTCTGTTACAATACTTCAAACTTCCAATAACTTAACAAAAACTGTTTAGACTGACTTTATATCTAAGATTTGACCTTCTCAAGGTCAAAAAAGGTATTTTTTAACTTGCTTCAAATTGACCAAATCTTTTTTTCAAATCATCTTCAAGCTATCAGAAGTTCAAATCTGACATTAAAATTGAGATTTGACCTTCATTGATCTTCTCAAGGTCAAAAAAAGGTCAAAAAGGTATTTTTCAACTTGCTTCAAATTGACCAATTTTTTTCAAAATCATCTCGAAGCTCTCAATTCAAATCTGACTATAGATTTGACCTTCAACGACATTCTCAAGATCAAAAAAATATTTGACCTTCTCAAGGTCAAAAAGGTCTTTTTCAACTTGCTTCAAATTGACCAATTTTTTTCAAAATCATCTACAAGTTCTCAGAAGTTCAAATCTGACTTTAGATTTGAGATTTCACCTTCAATGACCTTCTCGGGTCAAAAAAGGTCTTTTTTCAACTTGCTTCAAATTGAACAATTTTAATTTTCAAAATCATCTGCAAGTTCTCAGAAATTCAAATATGACTTAAGATTATAGGTGGTGACATTTTGTCATGATAATGCATTGCTACTTAATTTCTATTCTTTGCTAGTTCCATTCCTTGTTACAAAATTTCAGATTTCAGAGAATAGTTCCTCTTGTGCATTTTATCTGACCCAATTTTAGATTTTACTTGTAAAATAATCAATTCTTGTATTTTATTTACAGAGAGGCCATATTCGTACACCCTTGGGAGACTTCTTTATTGAGCCTTCCCACAATCACCCAAATATATCCATCCACCAAAGAAAACAACATCATCCACCAGATGGCTCAAAAGAGAGCAATTTTCCACACGAGATACCTCATACTTTTTATAGGAAACCTAATCTCCCAATCAACTTCTCAGGGTCAAATGTAAATAAAGGTCAGTTCTGATGTCCCATTTTATGATATTCATTAATTTTATACAACATATCTTTGCCAAATTTTCAGGATGCTTAGTGAAATGTATCATGCTACTCTTGTTTATTTAAATTTTGGCTGTGGATATTGCAAAATAAAGTTTTTAGAGCAAAATTAGCTTTTCTTATTGTCTGATAAAGTTACAAAAAAATGATTGAAATGAAATAAGACTTAGTGATTGCTCAATGAAACATAAACAATGTACAACATTTTATTTTTCCAGACAGCTCAAGCATTGTTGATACTGCATTTAAATATGCAGAGTCTCTTGGATCTCGCACAATTCCTCAAAGCCACAATCGTCTCAAGCGCTCAATTGGCGTCCAAGAGAACTTCATTGTCAAATCTCCAACACTTAAGTTTCCTAAAAACAGCAACAATAAAAATGCAATTAGAAATAATAAAATAGAAAATTATGAAAATAAGACCAACAGTAATGGTCATAGAAAGACAAACAATGTATCAACTGGCAATAATAAAACTATTAAGCATCACTCAGGGACAACTCCTCATGATAAAGAAACTAATGAAATTGATCAAGGTAGAGAATCTAATAATATGGATACAACAAGTGATTCTCAACAAAATTTTAGGCCGGATGAAGTGGATGAAGCAGCCAATCACGGTTGGGATGGAGCTTATGATAAAGATGATAATGATATTTTAAATGAACATACAAAATCTGAAAAAATAAGTGTAACAACAGAAACCAAAGGCCATGCCAATAAACATCATCACTCAGCTGAAGGTCATGAGGTTGGACATACTATGGAGATGATGGTTGTGCTAGATAAATACATGGTAGAGTATCATGGCAGGGAGAATGTTGCCATGTATGCACTAACAATACTCAACATGGTGAGTTCTTTACAGCAATCTCACAATACTTATTATCCCAATGAACGAATTTCAGTAGGGATATAGTGAAGCCATCTGTCCGTCAGTCAGTGTGGTACAGTATATTGCAAAAATTGTATCGTTTTTCTGATTCGAGGCTTTAGAAAATTCACCTAATGTGGAATTTCGCAATAATTTCCTGATCTCTTAAAGTATGGCTGTATTATACTCAAATTGAACAAAGGAGGGGGAGTTGTTTGTAGAATGAATCAGGGGAGTTTTTTCAAACATTTCCCTTATATTTTCATCCAAAAAACATCAATACACTTTTAAACATTTTATTGACTATAAAATTGCACCATATAATCCCCAAAAATATTACTCATTTTCAAGAATTATCTATGAATTAACACCATGGTATTTTCATTTTTCAAACTTCAGAGGACTGGAAATCATTGATCATATTCGCTTTTGAATAATATTAATGCTGTTTCAAATAGGTTTTATGTATGCCTATAATTTCCCAAATTGTGTAAATGGTACACATTCCTTAATCCCTAGAATTTTCTCTTTGAGGAATTTCCCATAGAAATCCAATGGTACAGTTCCAAGCAGATTTTGAGATAACAGGAAAGTAAATCTTTAATACACTCCTTATTGGGTTGTTTTGGTGTATAGCGCAATCTTATTTAACTCATTAGATATCAAATATTATTATATCACTATCTAGCTAGCGACAGTATGATTGGTCAAAACCAGTCGTGGGATATCTGGCGATATTCAATGGCAATGCTAATCAGATAAGACAACCGTGAGATATCTAGCGATATCCCACGCTCCCGGGAATTTTCAAATAATTTGTTTTCGTTCAGTGTAAATAATTTAGTTCAATGTAAGTCAAAATGGCAGACGAACTGAGTAGATTCAATGTTAACCTATGACTTAATAATATTAGGGATGTTAAGCTAGACAGTGATATAATAAAACAAATATTTCACTCTATTTTCGGTGAATACCTGTAGTACTTTCACAAGGTGATATTCCACTTGCCCTTCGGGCTTCGTGGAATATCACTTGTGAAAGATGTACAGGTATTCACCTCAATAGAGTGAAATATTTGTTCAATATAACATTTCTCTAATTTTTTCCATCACAGGTTTCTCATCATGTTTAATTGTAATGTTGTCATGTTTCAGGTGTCTGACTTGTTCCAGGATAACACCATAGGCACCAAGGTGAACATTGTCATAGTTAGTCTGCTCATACTGGAGGAGGATGAGGTACAGTGTAAACACCCATTCTCAGTCTAATCTTCAGTGGAGCCTAGTGGTAGTTATAGACTGCCACAAGGTAACAGTTTGGGAATTGAGAAATGCTCATATAGTATTTATGTTCTCACTTGTACAAGGGCCGATCCAGAAGTCCTGATAAAAATGCTCTAACTTAAAAGTTTACCATTCATTTTGCACAATATTTTCAAAGTAAAAAAAATTATGATCTATTACTAAACTAAAAACATAAGGTACAACTTTAGATCAATATCGAACAGTCTCTAGTCTACATTGTTCATCATAGATGGTGTTCATATGTGTAAGTACCCTTCCAAAAGGTTTTGGACAGCTTCAGAAGCATTCACATTAGTTGGGCTTCGGGTCTTATGTTTCGTTCCCAGTTGCCAGAATTGACAAATTCACCCTATTCACCAAGCTGCATTTAATGGATCAGCCCATGTGCCTTTAGTTCAAGTGGACATATACGATTTTTCCTTTGATTTTAAGTTGACATATGTGACCTTTAAGTTCACATTAATATATATGATTGTCCCATTAAGTTCAAGTGGACATATCTGATTATTCTTTTGATTTTAAGTTGACATATGTGGTTCTCTCAGTTTAAGTTAATATATGTGATTCCCCCATTAAGTTGAAGTTGATATAATTGGTTCTCCCATTATAGACTATTAAGTTGAAGTTGACATGTTTGATTCTCCCTTTTTAAGTTGACATATGTGATTCCCCATTTAAGTTCAAGTAGACATATATGATTCTCCCTTTGATTTTAAGTTGACATATGTGATTCTCTCTGTTCAAGTTAATATATGTGATTCTCCCATTAAGTTCAAGTTGATATATTCGATTCTCCAATTAAGCTAAAGTTGACATATTTGATACTCCCTTTTTAGATTGACATAATTATGCTATTCTCCATAGCATAATTTAAGTAAGCATATGAAATTCTCATTTTAAATATAAGTTTACATATGTGATTCTCCCATTAAGTTCAAGTTGATATATTCAATTCTCCCTTTTTAAGTTGACATATGTGATTCCCAATTTATGTTCAAGTTGACATATGTGATTCCCCCTTTTAAGTTCAAGTTGACATATATGTTTCTGCCTTTAAGTTCAAGTTGACATATGTGATTCTCTCATTAAGTTCAAGTTGACATATTTGATTCTCTCTTGTTAAGTTGACATATTTGATTCCCCATTTAAGTTCAAGTTGACATATATGATTCTCCCTTTAAGTTCAAGTTGACATATGTGATTCTCTCATTAAGTTCAAGTTGACATATATGATTCTCCCTTTAAGTTTAAGTTGACATATGTGATTCCCCATTTAAGTTCAAGTTGACATATATGATTCTCCCTTTAAGTTAAAGTTGACATATGTGATTCTCTCATTAAGTTCAAGTTGACATATGTGATTCTCTCATGAAGTTCAAGTTGACATATTTGATTTTTCCTTTCAGTTCAACTTTTCTAATTCTCTAATTTTCTCATGTTTGTTTCAGCCTGGTTTAGAGATCTCGCATCATGGTCAGAACACATTATACAGTTTCTGTAGTTGGCAGTCTAATATCTTAAACAAGGATGGCAAGGCTCATCATGACCATGCCATCTTGTTAACTAGGAAGGACATATGTTCATACAGTGAGGAGCCGTGTGATACACTGGGTAAGCAACCTGTCATAACCATTGTTCATGTATGTTTTTTTGAAAAATTTAGAGATACATGTAACACCCAAATTAAATTATAAATATTCAAAAGAGGACATTTAAATTTACAATTTTTTAAACTTCCGAAACCCCTGTACCCCCATTTTTTGGGCTCGCTTCGCTCACAGTCTTGAAAACCCCAAAAATAGATGCCCCTTGACAATTGCTGGCTACGCCCCTGGTTTGCTTCCTATGTTTGCATTCTATGCTGTCTGTACTTTTGTATGCTCCTGATATTTTGTATATCTATCCTAATGTTGCTTGTTGTGCTATGTTTATATTGTAACTGTAGGGTTTGCTCCTATGAAGGGGATGTGCAAGCGTCACCAGAGTTGTACAGTAAACGAAGATTCAGGTTTAGGAACAGCACTCACCATCACCCATGAACTAGGACACAAGTAAGTACACGTACATGCATGTAGTATAAGTTCACTTGATATCATATATATGCCACAGCCCCATGCCAAGTAAGTACACGTACATGCATGTAGTATAAGTTCACTTGATATCATATATATTTTATTGTATTTTGTATGTCCCGTATATATACGGTCGTAATTTACGTAATTAACATGGAAGATATACCCAGAAACCCCTCCTTGAAGGAGCTCTGTGTTCTTTTATGTGCACTTATACATACAAGTACACACCACAGCCTTTTGTATGAGTTGCGGACCACTCAGTCAAACACCCTGAAGTACTTCACGCAAACAAGCAAATTTAGTCTTGCCTGAACTGGGGATCGAATCCGGGACCTATTGCGTAAGAGGTACCTGCGCTACCGCTGAGCTACACAGGTGGACTATATGCCACAGTCCCATGCTTCAACTGTTAAAGGAGAAGCATCTCCAACCACAGTCCATTCCCATTTGAAGAGTTTGCAAAGGAGTGGTATAGATATGATGAACACATGTTTCTCTTAAACCAGTCATCAAAACATTCTGAAAATTGTACACATCGTCAATTTAATGGTTATCTTTTGGATGGTAACATTATAATTTGAAATATCTACAGTATATATGTACTTTTCTCTATATTGTTTTAGAAAACACATCAGACACTTCTTTCGTCCTTGGTATCATATGTTAGGAATGAAATGAAACATCTATCCGAACCTCATTGGAACAAGACGACATAAACACAACGTGTTTAGGTCTATCGATATTGTAATTATACAAAGGAAAGTTTGGTTGATTTTATAAAAGTGTCTTGTTAATGTAATAAAAGGTTTATCTTAATTTTTTATCTATTTTGGGGGTTTTGTTTTAAGTTTTTGCATACTTTATGTTAAATCCACCAAAATTTCCTTTGTATAACTATAATATTGAGAGGTCTAAGAAAATGTTGCATATTCTATTTTGTTCCAACAAGGATCAGAAAGACATTTTATTTCATTATCAAGTATTGGTAGAAAGGAACAAAAAACAAAAAAAGAAAAAAATGTTAACAAAAACAGTTATATAAAATATATACAGGTATAAATAATTTTTGCATTAAATTGTTGCCAATCAGTCAACATTACATAATGGACCATGTTTTTTTACAGAATGTTTTCAATAATTGGTTTAAGAGAAAAACATTGTTGAATTCAGTTCACCATATCGATACCTATCCTTTAGAACACGTTTGATTTAGTTTTTTTCAATAATAAAGATTGCAGGCCAATAAATCTATTAACTAAAACAAGCAGCAACAGTTCTCTAAAAAGAATAACAAGCAGACTACAACTATTACTGAATCGATACATTGAACTCTTATTTTGCAAGTACTGTACATATAGTCTATTATAGGGCAAATTTTCATCTTTTATATCCAGTTCTGTTATGTATATTATTTTACATGTATCATTTTTATAGCTTTGGTATGGTCCATGATGGCCAACAGAACTCTTGCAAGAAAACGCAGGGCTCTATTATGGCTCCAGTACTTGGGGGCATCAATGGACAGTTTCTCTGGTCTCCCTGTAGCAGGATGTATATGCAGAACTTTTTCAAGTAAGTGTATGAATGGAAACATCTGAACAATACAAATCCACATAAATAAAAGTTATGTTCATTGTATACATTGAACATAGTGAAGAATGTGCTGCCCTCTTTTTATGTGTAATAAGGTTATAAGGTTATTTAGAAAATCAAAAACAACATTTTGAGACCCAGATTTTAGATTCTGCTGATTCTATATATACATCTTGATCAATCTTTGCTGTGTAGCCTTAACAAACAATAAGGAAATATTGCTGAAATTCTGCTAGCATTCTTGCAAATCTCCTGGACACAGGAAGGAGTTGTGCACTCTTAGCCCATAACAAAACTTCTAAATGCAAAATAGTTTCTCCTTTCAGATTATTAAAGCATTAACCATACCCTAATATAGCATATGATGTTTTTTAATTATTTATTTATGGTAATTACCCAGATGCGAGTAGGTAGTTACCAGTTCCACCACCAGGTGGCTGATTAAGGTTAATTAACATTGCAGGTATATAAGAAAGTTACCTTAAACTTGAATATTATCAGTTTAAGGGGATCAATTTTCATATTATCTGTGTGTATCTCATGAACAAATATATCCAGTAAAAGAAAATATTAGCTGGCCAACACAAGAAAAGATATTTCACTTTTTGTGATTTTGTAACATTGGTCTATGGGGAATCTCCCTGACCTAGAAGTCACATTTTCAAAGAAGATTGAATTTTCAAAGTTAGTATAAATACTTTTTTGGACCACATTTCTAGGTGCAATTTTACATGTTGACTTCAAATATGATATCCCTTTAACTAAATTTTGAATATTTAATTAAGTAAATCAAGATTATTTCTACTCACATCTTTTCAATTCCTTTGGAATTTTAACCAGTTACATTTTGTATGTGGGTCTGAAGTCCATTGTTTGAACAGCTTGATTGGAACATTTGATCTTTGAATGTATCACAATGAAAATTCTAATTTTCTTGCCAACTTGTAACAAGGACAATATCATTGATACCATAACCTATTCACCATTCATCTTTGTTATTTATTTGGCATTGAATCGGCATTTCAGTTTGTTTTGGCTTGATAATTCCATGCTCACATGCATCAACTGCCATTGTGTTGAGGGTACAGGAAGTAATGAAATAATACATTTGGACATGATTCAAAATTATTCAGCTAAAGTTAAACAGGTCATAAAGTTACATATACATTTTCTTATAATTGCTCTTTGTAAAGTTTGACATAATTATAGCCCCTTCATATGTTATAAAGTCCTATACAAAAAGCTATACATTATGAGGTCACACAAAACTGCTTTTGCAAGAGTTACATAAAACTGTTTGTCTTAAAAAGAGCTTTTAATTTTACTTGATTCTGCTTTTTGGAATCATAGGTCTTGGTAAGGAAATAAATACCTTTCATAAAATGCTTTTCAGTTTGCTTTCAAAACATATAGCTACATATTTCAGATTTATTCAGTATCAAGACATTTTACCCCTTGGACATTTCGCCCCTAGACTGATCACCCTTTAGAGGGGCAAAAATGTCTAAGGGTGAACCGTGAAGTGTCCAGTGGGTGAAGTGTCCAAGGGGTGAAGTGTCCAAGGGGTGAAGTGTCCAGGGGGTGTCTCCAATTCGAAGATTGTTCCACATCATTTGGCCCAGCATGAATGGAGATGGCTTCAATTGTGTCCTTTCTCCTTTATTGGTTACTCGGTTTCTTCCTATTATTTTAAAATTATGTGAAAATCAAAGAAGACATGTGATATTAAGTGAGTCTAGATTAGATTATATAAAAATTGAATGATGTGGAGTTGGAAATCTGTTAATCTGTTTATTTTTCTGAATGTGTCTTCAATGATGCAGAAGTTAACCCTCATATATTGATCAATGAATAACTGGATGTGTTAGAATCTACTTAAACCTGTGACAATGAACACATCCCAAAAAAGAAACATCTATATTGGTAGGTGTTCATTTTTATAGGTGCTCATTATTAATGGATGTTAACTTTAATAGGATTTATTTATATCATCACCTGAATCATTTCTTTGGAATATATGACTGTAAAGGTATTTTAAAGAGAGTATTCATCCTTGGTCCAAGGGTATTCCACTCATTAATAGTTGCTGTTTAGCAGTGAAGCCCGATCTTGAAGGATGAGAGGCATTTACTTTGAAGATCTGTCAATGAGAAGTGTTTACTAAAATAAGTTGTTCTAAAGAGAGTTGTTAAAGATATAAGTCGAAAGAAAAATGATTACTATAAAAGGTGTTTTAGATCGATGTGTTTATTATAAAGGTTTTCTACAATAATGTGTGAAATAAGAAGTTATTCTGAAAAGTGCTTACTATAAAGGTCTTCTTCTAAGAGAGGTATTTAAGAAATAAATAGTTCTAAAGAGAGTTGTTAACAAAAAAAAATTTTCTAAAGAAAGAGTTTACTTAAGAGGTATTTTAATGAGGGGTGTTTACAAAGATTATAAAGTGAGGTGCTTATGATATAATTTGTCCTAAATAAGTGTTAACAACTTAAGTTTTTTCCAAAGAGAAGTCATTACTATAAAGTTGTTTCAAAGAGAAGTGTTTACTTCATAAGTTGTCCCAAAGAGAAGTGTTTATTTTAAAGTGTTCAAAAGAGAAGTGTTTACTTGTCCCAAATGAAAGTGTTTACTTTAAAGTTGTTACAAAGAGAAGTGTTTTCTTTAAAGTTGTTCCAAAGAGAAGTGTTTTCTTTTAAGTTGTTCCTAAAAATAGTGTTTGCTTTAAAGTTGTTCCTAAGAGAAGTGTTTTCTTTAAAGTTGTTCCTAAAAATAGTGTTTGCTTTAAAGTTGTTCCAAAGAGAAGTGTTTTCTTTAAAGTTGTTCCTAAAAATAGTGTTTGCTTTAAAGTTGTTCCTAAGAGAAGTGTTTTATTTAAAGTTGTTCCTAAGAATAGGGTTCTTTAAAGTTGTGCCTAAGAGAAGTGTTTTCTTTAAAGTTGTTCCTAAGAATAGTGTTTACTTTAAAGTTGTTCCTAAGAGAAGTGTTTTCTTTAAAGTTGTTCCTAAGAATAGTGTTTACTTTAAAGTTGTGCCTAAGAGAAATGTTTACTTCAAAGTTGTTCCTAAGAATAGTGTTTACTTTAAAGTTGTTCCTAAGAGAAATGTTTACTTCAAAGTTGTTCCTAAGAGAAATATTTACTTTATAAGTTGTGACAAAGAGAGGTGTTCCCTTTAAAGTTCCAAATAGAGGTTTGTACTTTAAAGTTGTTCCAAAGAGAAGTGTTTTCTTTTAAGTTGTGCCTAAGAGAAATGTTTACTTCAAAGTTGTTCCTAAGAGAAATATTTACTTTATAAGTTGTGCCAAAGAGAAGTGTTCCCTTTAAAGTTCCAAATAGAGGTTTTTACTTTAAAGCTGTTCCAAAGAGAGGTTTTTACTTTAAAGTTCCAAATAGAGGTTTGTACTTTAAAGTTGTTCCAAAGAGAAGTGTTCCCTATAAAGTTGTTCCAAAGAGAGGTTTTTACTTTAAAGTTGTTCCAAAGAGAGGTTTTTACTTTAAAGCTGTTCCAAAGAGAAGTGTTCCCTATAAAGTTGTTCCAAAGAGAGGTTTTTACTTTAAAGCTGTTCCAAAGAGAAGTGTTCCCTATAAAGTTGTTCCAAAGAGAGGTTTTTACTTTAAAGCTGTTCCAAAGAGAGGTTTTTACTTTAAAGCTGTTCCAAAGAGAAGTGTTCCCTATAAAGTTGTTCCAAAGAGAGGTTTTTACTTTAGGGGTGGGGTCAAAATATCGATGTTCATATGGAGACGAAAGTACTTTTGCAAGGGGGGAGGGGGTTTTTGGGCACTTTCGTTGACCAAAAAAACATCGATAATTCGGATCTGATATACAAAAAATAATTGGACTTACCCACTTTTTCTGGCGCTATGTTCTGATAAAAAGGCTTGTTTTCAATAGTTCGTGAGCTTTTTTGTGTGATAGGTCCAAAATATCGGTAGATAAAGACGATAATTCGATCATTTTTCAAATAAATTCCGTACTTTTCCCTCCTCCTTTTGAAGAGTTCAATGCAGTTAAATTGCGAACGTGTGTTAATTCACCGTAATAATAACCCGGCAAATAGGATACGATTATGCCAATGTTTTTTTGAAGTGACCTAAGCTTTCGTCTAGAGGGGGGTGGGGGGGTTGTTGTCCAAACGAAATTACTTTCGTCTCCATATGAACATTGATATTTTGACCCCGCCCCTTAAAGCTGTTCCAAAGAGAAGTGTTCCCTAAAGAAAGTTGTTCCAAATAGAGGTTTTTACTTTAAAGCTGTTCCAAAGAGAGGTTTTTACTGAGAAGTGTTCCCTAAAGAAAGTTGTTCCAAAGAGAGGTTTTTACTTTAAAGCTGTTCCAAAGAGAGGTTTTTACTTTAAAGTTGTTCCAAAGAGAGGTTTTTACTTTAAAGCTGTTCCAAAGAGAGGTTTTTACTTTAAAGTTGTTCCAAAGAGAGGTTTTTACTTTAAAGCTGTTCTAAAGAGAAGTGTTGGGTTTAACAGAAGTCATTATAGTTATCAGCTATTGTTTATAGTCCAAACCTATTCAGCATTATCTTTGATGATTTATGTGCAATTGAAAGCTGAACTTGGGATCACACTAGTTTAATTAAATTATAGTATTCACTTTTCTTGAGTTACATTTTAATTAGTCAAAACTTTTATTTTTATCAAAACTTTTTATTTGAATACTTCAAATAAACAATAGGTTACTTGCATTTTGATTGGAATGGGTTCAAATTGAAAATTGGATTTTGCTCATTTGGATATTTGTTCAGGTATTTGTATAAGATATGAACCATTTGATGAACAATACATTCAATTATAGAATATTTACTGATCTCTACATGTATTAGAGCCCCTACCTGATAATTTAGAGGTGATGTCTCCTATTTCGGCCTAAACATAGTTTAATTTATGTATTTACAGTACATGTAATTTGCGTAAAATCTTAACTGAAGAAAACCTGATTCTGGCTAAAGAGTATATCAATGAAGAAATATATA